CAGCTTTGACCCCAGAACCGCCCGAGAGGGGCTCGGTTTCTGAGCCCAAAGGTGCAGGACTTGGGCTCTGGCCCAGTCCCCGGGCCGGGGCTCCGTTCTGCAGCCGGGGAATACCCGGCTGGGTCCATGCGGCGGAGCCCTGGCCCAGAGCACCAAAGCACCCTCCTGAGACCCCAGAGCACCATCCCCAGTCCCAAACACCCTCCTGAGTCCTCAAGCGCTATTTCCAGACCCGAACACCCTCCTGAGTCCCGAACCGATCCTGACTGAGCCACGAACCGGCCCCGGCTGAGCCCCGGACCCCTGTGTGCTGTGGGACGGCACCGGGAGCCCCGGCGGTGCTCGGAAACTGGGCGGGGGACCCGGGTGGCCGCGTGTGGCTCGGGCGAGGGGCGGCGTGCTCCGGTCCTCCCAAGTTAATTCCGCGCTGTCCCGGCGCCACCCCGCGCCCCGCCCCGCCCCGCCCCGCACTTCCACCCTAGCGCCGGGACAGCGCCGCGGCGGAAAACGGCCACCGCCCGCCCCTACCCCCGCGCACGCGCCTGGGGAAGGGGGGGGGGGGGGGAGGAGGGGAAATCTCGGCGGGGCGTGGTCAGCCGAGAGGGCGGACCATCGGCCGCTGGGTCCTAGCGCCCGTCCCCCTCCGGTACCATCGGAGTGGCCGTGGGTGAAGTCCGGTTGCCTTTGAATCGCAGCGGGGTGCGAAGAGCGGCCCGGGGGGGACCCCTGCGTGAGCGTAAGGCCGAGGTGCGCGACCCCGAACCCCCGCACAGGCCCCGCGCAGGCGCAGGCGGCCGTCATGGCGGAGAAGGTGCAAAAGAGGTGAGTGTCCCCAGACACACCCCCTCCCCGGGACGCGGCGGGGCTGCCCGCCCCTCTCCGGTTCACCTTACTGAGCCCTGTCCGTTCCTCCAGCGTCAAGATCGCGCCGGGGGCCGTGGTGTGCGTGGAAAGCGAGATCCGCGGCGACGTGACTGTCGGTAAGGCATCAGGCCTCTCCTCTCCGCTGCCCGAGTGCTGCGGCGGGGCTGGACGAGGGGTGACCTCGGCTTGTTCCCGGCAGGGCCCAGGACGGTGATCCACCCCAAGGCCAGGATCATCGCCGAAGCAGGACCTATTATCATCGGGGAAGGCAACCTGATCGAGGAGCAGGCCCTCATCGTCAATGGGTCAGTACGGAGCTGGACAACACCCACAGGGTCACCTCATTTTTGGGAGGAAACACTCCTTTTTTGGGAACACTGACCCCCAGCTCCAGACTGGATGAGGAGAGGATGTGTTTGGGATCCCTTGGTCATGTTCCCAGCTTGGGCTTTGCAGATAGTTGGTGTTCCCTGAGATATTCCCTGAGGACAGCAATCCTGTCCTGACAGTGCCCTGTGCAAGAGCAAGCCATCTCCAAACCCCACCGCTCTAGCTGGATGGGACAGAATCACAGAATCCCAGACTGGTTTAGGATGGAAGGGACTTTAAAGATCATTCAGTTCAACTCCCCTGCCATGGGCAGGGACACCTTCCACTAGGTCAGGTTGCTCCAAGTCCGGTCTGGTCTGGCTTTGAACACTGCCAGGGATGGGGCATAATACACACGATGTTTCTCAAAATCAAGCTGCCAAACATTACAATACCTTTGTGATCTCAAAACTTGAAATATATTCTCCCATCTTGCAGGTATCCAGAAAATATTACTCCAGAAACTGAAGAGGTGGAGCCCAAACCCATGGTCATCGGCACCAACAATGTTTTTGAAGTTGGGTGTTGTATCCTTGCTGTGCTGTGAGATCGAATGTGTGATACACCGCACTTGTGGATCAGTATGAGGGGAAAGGTATGGGCTCTCTTGTGGTTCAGGCAGCACAGGGCTGTTTATTGCAGGTTGTTGGTTTGAAAATGGCACCAGGGTTTACCTTTTGAAATAAAAGCAGAACATTCTGCAGTTTTCTTTAACATGGACCCGTAGATTCCCAAGCAATGAAGGTAGGAGATAACAATGTCATTGAATCCAAAGGTAAGTCTTGGCTCATCATCTTGTGAGATTTTGTGGAAGCTGGGAACAGTAGAGGTGGTTTCTTGCTGTAGGTGAGGCTGTTGACAATGCTGTGATTTTCACACAAAAGCCCAGTGTGTGACTGGCCTTGGTGGGACCAGCCCGGGCTGGGTCTGCCTCCTGGTGCTGAACAGCTCATGGTATTGATGTTGGGTAGTGCAGGGTATATCCACATCATGGGCATGACTCTCACAATGATTCCTCTCTCTTCCCGGCAGCATTTGTTGGCAGGAACGTGATCCTGACAAGCGGCTGCATCATCGGGGCCTGCTGTAACATCAACACCTACGAGGTGATCCCCGAAAACACTGTCATCTATGGGGCTGACTGCCTCCGCCGTGTCCAGACCGAGCGGCCACAGGTGAGTGTGACGCATGGGTGACACCATCCTTGTTGCATCCTCTGAGGGCTGCCCTCACCCTGCCTCTGCTCCCAGCCCCAGACACTGCAGCTGGATTTCCTGATGAAGATCTTGCCAAACTACCATCACCTAAAGAAGACCGTGAAGGCCACATCCACTCCTGTCAAGAGCTGAGCATCTTCTGCTGCTGGTGGCTGATGAGAAGGGGTTGCATCTGGTCCTGGGAAGTACTCCCCAGCCCTAGGAAGTGGCTGACCATTCCATATTTGGGAAAAAAATCTAATACCATCTTGATTGTGTGTGTCATTTATATTCTGCCCAGCACCTCGAGTCTGCTGTGGATCAGTTGTCTCTCATGCACTAACTCAATTGTACATTTTTGGTTTTTGGGAATAAAATGCTACCTGCTCTTCTGTCAAGGGAGAGACTGCCGTCCTGCCTGGGTCAGGTGCTGAACTGCCACTGCCACCATCCCATTTCCTACAAGGATGCTGGAGAGGGACTGTAGCGATAAGGGGTGATGGGTTCAAACTGAAACAGGGGAAGTTCAGGTTAGATCTAAGGAAGAAGGTTTTTACTGTGAGGGTGGTGAGGCACTGGCACAGGTTGCCCAAAGAAGTGGTGAATGCTCCATCCCTGGCAGTGTTCAAGGCCAGGTTGGACAGAGCCTTGGGCAACATGGTTTACTGTGAGTCATCCCTGCCCATGGCAGGGGATTTGGAACTGGATGAGATTAAGGTCCTTTCCAACTCAAACCATTCTGTGATCCTATGATCCCTTGAGGACAGCCCAGGTGCTGTCTCCCTGCTCTTCTCTTCCCTGGCTGCCGGCAGAGGGAGATGGACCCACACCAGGGGAAAGCAGGGCTGCTTGGAGGAAGGGATTTTCTTGTCCTGCTTCACCAATCCATGCGGATTTTGGATGGGGAAAGGCTCCAGAGCTCTCCCTGGTCTTCAAAGGCACCTACTCAGCTTCCCTCCTAGAGGGTCCACAATGGAGCTAAAGCTCCTCCACTCATCAGCTGAGCTTTGGACACATCCATGCTTCCCATCCAGCCCCTGAGATCTACCAGGAATATTATTCACACCTTCCCGCTCTGACCGTGTACAACATTGCCCGATGTTCTGTCTTGGTGCAGAAGGAAATTAATGTTGGAGCAGAAATCTGTAGGAAGGAGAGAGTGGAGAGAGCATCAGCAACCACCTGCAGAGGAATCCCAAGTGCCAGCTGGGCTGCAAGACATGGGGTGCAAATTTGGGACCAGGGGGGTTAGGTGGGACAGGCCAAGGCACAAACAGCACAGCACCCACCAGATTTGCTCCAAGTTCAGTTACAGGAATACCCAAAATAAAAACCCACTGTTTATTGGCTTTGCAGCTCCAGTCCTTGGTCCAGCACTTGTGACAGTGCAGCTCTTCCCCAAAGCCAAATCCAAACAAGGGCTGAACCCTTGTCCCTCCAGCTTGAAAGATAAGGCAAACCTTTGCTGGGAATTCATCCCAAAAGCACGAGGCTCCAGCAGATTCAAGCAACTAGATCAGCCCCCACACTTCAGGTGCCCTCTCTGGGCCCCCTGCCCTGGTAGCCAGATGCTTCCAGCTCCCCAAATCCAGCTGGCATGGCTTATTTCCATTTCCCTCACAGCATGAGAGGTTCTGCTCTGTAAATCACCACTGTGGGGGCTGGAAACACTCTGCTCTAGGTCAGTGGTGGGGCTGAATCCATCCAGGCTGCCCACAGGCCTGCAGATCTGTTTTTTTCCAGAGTTGCCATGATCTTAAAACACCTACTTGGTACAAGCCCTTTGCCATCAGCAGGATGTCCTCAGTGTCACCTCTGGTCCTCATGTATTGTGTCCCATCTTCTTCAGACACGGCTGCTGGTCCAATGCTTTTCACCCTGAGGGTCTCCATCATGCTACACCATCCATGGAGATGTGACAGGGCTGGGACCGACCCAAAGATCAGACAGAAGAAAGGTGAGCAGGGTGCAAACTCACCTGAAGCTCTGCCTAAATGGGGAGTGGGGTGGGAGCCTAAACGCAGCCCCAGGGCCGGCTCCACAGCCAGCCCTGCCCCTGTGTGTTCCTCCATCCATGCCCTGTGTCCCCAGCACTGTGCCGTCCTCTGCCCCACAGCCCTGCTGCGGCCGTGACCCTGGGAGTGTGCCCTGTGTCCCCAGGACTGTGTCCTATGTCCCCATCCTTGTGTCCTACATCCCCAGTCCTATGACTGGACTGCCGCAAGTCCCCAGCCCTGTGTCCCGCGTTCCCAGGCCCATGACCCAGATTCCTGTCCTGTATCCCCAACCCTGCGTGCCATCTTACCAGCCGCATCCTGTGTCTCCAGCCTTTTGCCCTGTATTCCTAACCCTGTGCCCAGTGTTCCTAGCCCTGTGTCCCAACTTCCCAGCCTTCTGTCCTGTATCCCCAAACCCGTGTCCCATCTTCCCAGCCTTCTGCCCCGTGTCTCAGACCTGCCTCATTCACCCTCCCGTCCCTCCTATCCCCGTGCCCCCATCCCTCCCCCCCGCCTCCAGTTCCCCCCGGAACCTCCCTCCCCCTCCTCCGAATCCCTCCCCCGGCCCCGCCCCGGTTCCCCCCGCGCCCTCCACCGCCGCCTCCAGCCTTCAGCACCGCCCGCCCGGGACGCGGCTGCCGCCGGCGGGACAACGAGCCTGGCCCCGAGCGCAGCATGAGCAACCTCCCCGCCGATCGGGAGGGCGGCCCCGCCGACACCGGCCTGCCCGAGGAGGAGGTACCGGGGGAAGGAGGGGATGTGGGGTTCGGGGGGTCCAGCATCCCCCTCCCCACCCGCAGCTCCCCTACGCCGGGGGTGTCCTGTCGGTCCCGGGACTGCTGCTGGAGATGGGGCACAGAGAACTGCGGGCAGCGCATCCCCCGCTCCCCGGGACAGCCCCGCATCCCCTTGCAAACACCCTTCTGCCTCCCCGGGGAGCCTTGCAGCACCCCGGGGTGGGGCGGGTGCCCAAGCAGCCTCCACCCCCTCCCCAGGGCCGGTGTTTGAGGTGACCGGTAGTGGGTACCATGCATGTCCGCATCTCTCAGCCCGAGGGTCTCACCCCAAAGATGTACCCCCGCCCTCATCCCCACGGGAGGCAAACCCCACAGCCCCACACAGACTCTGCAAGCGTGGAGTTCCTGGTTTTACCCGTGACCTTGAGATGGGAATTTGGACTTTGGGAGGGTGAGAGCAGGTAGATAGGATCTCCTCCTCACCTTTCGCCCCACCGTCTGTTCCGGCACGTCACTTTTCGGTGGGGTCTCTGACTGATGGGCACATGGGGATGCTCTGCTCCCCTGCTCTCGCCTACCTCAGGGTTTTTGATTTTCCAGCCTGAAGCTTACCAAAGTTTCCCAAAGTGCTCCAGTAAGGGGGAATTTCTCCACTGGTGGCCTCACCAGATCCTTGCAGGTGATGGTGATGATGTGGCTCGCAAAGGGAACGCCGGTGGGAGAAGTCCATTAAGGCCTGTTGCCTTTCCCAGCACCCTGCTCCCAGCTGGACCCAAGGGGGGCGAGGGGCTGGCCATGGCACTGCTGGCCCTTGGAGACCCCCTGACCAGGGGGATGCTGAACATGAGGAGTCCCTGCGAGGTGCCAGTCTCCTATTGTACTGGGAACATGTTAGGAGGGTGATGGCTGCTCCTGTTTGCAAACCAGACTCCTCCAGAGCCAGGCAGGTATTTTTCCCTGCACAAGTTTTTCCCAGCCTTGGCTGGAAGAGCCGGTGCTGTCAAATATTTGCTTAAGCACAGGTGAAGGGGGTTGCCCAACTACTGCGCCCTACCTCCCCCTTCCCTGGGGCTTCCAGCCATGTCCCCCTAAAAACAAAAGAGGGAGAAGCATCATGGGGAGGTCAGTCAGGGTGCTGCTGGGTGAGACAAGCCTCTGCTCTGCCCTCACTCCTCCCTGGGCTGGCCAGAGTCCTACTGCCCAGCGTGCTCACCCCACCCCTATCCCCTTCCCCCAGAAAAGGGATCCCCAGGTGTGGGGGAGCTGTGGGACCGGGGGTGGGAATGCCCACAGAGGAGCCTGGAGGGGAGGGAGAAAAATTTGGGAAGGAGGTCCCGTCACTCCAGCCAGGCAAGGACGGCATGTAAAAGGCTCAGCAGAGGCCTTATTTGGTAGCAGAGCAGCTCAAGAGAGCCCGGCTTGTGGTCCTTGTCCCCATCCAGATCCTTCATCCCAGGGAACCAGGGCATGGAGAGGAGACCCCAGGGGTGGTTTCGGGGAGGCGGGGGGGGGGGGTACCCAGCAAGTGGATGAGGTTTGTCCCAGTGCTGCACCTCCCCCATGCTCCTGATTCCTTTCCTCCTCTAAGCACAGGGTCTGGAGGGTTTTTAGCCAGACACAACCGTGCGTGAACCCCCCCCCCCAGTGCCTGCTGCTCACTCCTCTGCTCTGTTGCAATCCCCCATTTGCTCCCTTGGCTTCTCGCTGGCTTTTCTTCCTCTGCCGCTTCCTCGTTCCAGCCCCAGCAGCTCCGGGCTGGCTCTTCCCAGAGGGCTGCTCCGTTCCTCCCATTCTCCCACAGGACATTTGGCTACTGATCTGGAGAAGTGGCTACGGGTGGCAGGACTGAAGGCTGAGCCCCTTCCTCCTGCATCCCAGCAGCACAGGAGCCAGCATCCCCTTGTTTATGTCAGGGAATTTTGCGGGTTGATGGCATGTGTACACGCAGCCCAAGAATCTAAACCCAGCCAAAGAGGAGGACACTCCATTACCAGAGAGAGTATTTATGCAGGGATTAATCCCTGTGGGGCTGGAATTCACCCCACCACGTGGGAGGCAGCACCCCACTTTGCCAGGGAGAAGGGGAGGAAGCTCTGCTTGCCCTGTTTTATGGCTTGATCACAGTGTTCCTGCTACCACTGGGGCAGTCAAGCAGTTAATCGGCTGGTAGAGAATTAAAGCGAGCCCCCACTGAAGTGTGGTGGATGGGGAGCTGGGCATGAAGGAGGCCATTAAATGCCTTGTGAATGAATCACCCAGACACCTTCCGCCTCTCCCTGATGGCCCCCAGCCTGTTAACATTTACTAGGGGTGGTTTGTGCAGGGGCAGGGGTGCGTGATCATGCTGGTCAGCCCCCAGCGTCCCATGGGATGGTCGGGTTGGATGAGGCTTGGAGCAACCCTGTCTAGTGGAAGGTGTCACTGCCCATGACATGGGGATGGAACTGGATGAGCTTTAAGGTCCTTTCCAACCCAAATCATTCTGTCACCTGATGGAGGTCCAAGGCAGGCAAATTACTCCCTGGTGCCTCCTTAGCTGTGGGAGACAAACCTGGCTTGTGGCCTCTCCAGTATCCCTTAGATTGATCCCAGACGGGACATGGTGTCTGGGGACATTAGAAGGTGATGGTGCAACGCAGAGGCGAGAGGGACACGCCAAAAGCAGGATGGAGATGGCTTCCTAAGAAGAGAGGAGAGCAGCAGAAGCTAGGAAAAGACTTTGCTGTCTTACTGACAGTAAGAACCAGGAAGGGACAAACCAGGAGTGAGGCAGTGGAATTGGGATTCAGTGGCCCTGGCAAACCTGGGAGCTGTGGGACACAGTGGCAGGAGGAGGGCCATGGAAAGTGGACTTGGTGTAGTCCCACAGTCGTCATCCCCACTGAAAGACATCAAGGTGGTGGCTGCCTGCAAGGTCCAGCACCCATGGCCAGAGGTTTCCTGGAGCAAGCACTGGCACTTCTTACATGGAAGAAACCTTTGGTTTCACCCCAAATTGTAACAAAGAGAGATGGAGAAATGCTCCACCAAGAGCATTTGGACCCCCTCTCGGAGGGGTCATTTTTCCCTATGGAAGAGCACACACCCAGTGAGGCTTTTTTCCCCCCCTCAAAGGCAGCATTTTGCCCTGGGAGTGTTCAGGGTTGAGGATGGAGGCAGAGCCCCTGGGATGTCTCGGCACAGCAGCGCCTCGAGCAGCTCCTTGCGGGTTTGAAGCTCCTTTTCCATTTAAGGGCAGAAGTAATATTTCCGCCTAAAATAATCTTCCCCCTTGGCAAGAGGATATCCGTCCAGCCTGCTGGGAATTGTCCCCGAGGACGCTCCCTTTGTCTGCCTTTCTCTCGCTTTAGCACCCAAATCCTCCCACCTGCTTGCTACCCAGCCCAGCAAGAGGATGTTGTTTACGCAGGACCTACTCAAACATCCCTTTGGCTGGGTACGCCACCCACCAGCCCCTTTTCGGGATTCAAGTGGGGTGTGCCTATGACCTCCTATCTCTTCCCTCTGCTTCCCAGCTCCCAAAACATCCTTTTGGGGCTGGAAACCAGCTGGGAGATCTTTTGGAGCCTTCCTCCTTCTCTCACTCTAATTTGACGGTTTAAAACTTGGCCGACCCATGTTTGAACTTTCAAAGAAAACAAGTCATTACTGAAAAGAAGCCTTTCCTTTGCAAGGAGGCCTAATTCCAGAGGGCTTTCCAGGGTCTTTTATCTCCCATCTCTCTGCCGGGCAGCTACGGGGCTAAATGATCTGGCAAACCGGGCTCATGGGGGTTTGGATTTCAGGGATGTGGTGGGTTCCCCTGTGGAGCCATCTCCGAGGCCTCTGGTCCCTGTGGAGAGGAGAGGCTGGAAGACAGCAAGCTAACATGCCAGGGAGGACCAGAGGCTTGAGGGATGATGGAGACAGGGGGAAACCATGCAGGGATACTCAGCCTCCTCCAAAGTAAAACCCGGCTGGGAGGGTGGATGTGTCTGGTGATCCGATTCCCCAGATAGCAGGCATTCTCAGTGGATCTGTCTGAAGGGGAATACTTGTATTTTCCCTTAGGAAAGGATAAATTTGCCTTCCTTAATTGAAATTCATGGATGCAAGGGGAGGTCCTGCGGATGAATTCCTCCTCAGCCCCTGCCAGGAGAAATCTGGGAAGTGTCTCCATTAGGAGACAGTGCAGCATTGAGTGCTTAGGGATACTCCATCACCCTTTGATCTCAAGAGAAAGGCAGAAAGCTGGTGGGGGTCCCCAAAGCATCTTGTGGGGGCTTTCCAGCTCACCGTGAATGATCCCAGTAACAGGGACAGGCTACAGGGCTGTTCCCAGCTGCAGCTGTGGCTCTGGAAGGGGTGAGGACATGCCTGCACTGATCCCATCCAGCCTGGAGCTCTCAGCATCCTTCTAGGCAAAGCCCTGAGCATGCTTTCCTGGCTGGAGCAGGGCTTGGTTTCCAAGAGAAGCCAAGCCTGGGATGGCTGTACTTTCACGGCTGGCCTGTTTTCTGGCACCCAGTGATGGAAGATGGGTACCAGCAGCCCGATGGGTATCGCACCAGGGCTGTTGACACGAGGGCTACATGCAAATAGCCCCTTTTGTAATTTAACCTTTTGTTATTTAGTAGATACAGGTCAGCCGGAGATTTTGCTACAAAAGCAGGAATGTTTGCAGCTCTCAGGCCCCGGGAGATGGGGTAGATAGCTTATCTGCAAGAGAAAGAAGAAATGTCAGCAGAAGAATAGGCCTGGGGTGGCTGTTTCTGGCTGTGGGAATGGGGCAGACAAAGTGCCTGGCCAAAAACCTAAAATAGATAAAAAAGAAATTGAGGTTTACCCCCTCCTCCAGGCCAAATCTGGCAGCTTGGAACCGGGGAGGGGGTGGGGGGGGGGGGGAGACACGGACGGGGGGACGGACAACGACACACGACCATGATCTAGCCCCTCGGGATGAGCTCTTTCAAGGTATTGTCTGTCCAAAAAAAATAAGCTACGGTCATTAAATCCCCCAGATGACCTCCTAGTAAGGTGCTACAGGAGCGCTGCTGGAAATGATAGGGATTGCAAGGCAGGGATGTGGGATCCATGTCCAGGTGCCTCAACAAGAGCAGGGATGGTGGATAGGGACACGGCAGGGCTGAGACCAAGCTGCTACTCATCCCCAACATGATCTGAGGCTAAATACAGCCCCAGGGTGAGGGTCTCAGGTGAGGATGGTTGGGGCTGTTCTCAGCCCGAGGCTCCTGCCAGCCATCCAAGTGTTTGGATGAGATTTTTGGGAATGAGGAGAAGGGGACTGGCAGTAGATCCAACTGTTGGTCTCCGGCTTCACACCGCTCCCCAGGTTAGGAGCTGGTTCTAAAGCAAAACCATCATGGCACGGGTCGTTCCCCAGGTGGGGTTTGCCTGTTCTGAGGAGCCCCACATTCACCCAGAAGAGTTAAACACCCTTAAAAAGTGACTTTTATAAACCAGGGACAAGCTGCTTAAAAACAGCTCCCTCTAAAACAGGGCCAGTCGTCCAGGAGGAAGAGTTGGGTTTTGCTTCTCCCAAGTCCTTCATGAGCTGCTACAATTAAGCAGAGACAATAGGCATTGGCTGCAGAGTGAGGGCTCTGCTGGGGAGCCCAGGAGAGATCCTGTTTGCCAGACCTGGGTAAGAAGGGTCCAGGATGCTTTTTGACCCAGAGGGAACTCAGTGTGGTGAGGACAGGTCTTGGTTACCTTTCCATGGTGTCTTACCAGCTTACTTCATGGTCCCATGAAGTATGGGGATACCTTTCCCAAAAATGCCACATCCCCCAAGTGTGGATTAAGGATTCTAGCTGCCCACGAGATTCCCCTTGGACTGGCATCGTTCTGGAGTGCCACCACCGGAGGCTGTGGGATGCCTGGGGTATTCCCATGTTGGGGATGAGGGACGATCACCAGGAACCTCCTTTTCTTTTCTTCTAGGTGAGGACGCTCTTCGTTAGTGGGTTGCCTCTGGACATTAAGCCCCGGGAACTTTACCTGCTCTTCAGGCCCTTTAAGGTACCAGACCAGGGAGGGGAGAAGGGGGATGAAGCACAGGGCCGGCCCCCTGCACCTCCCATGACCTCGCCAGCCTTGGTGGGATCTGGGAACCTGCTGGTTTCTTCCAGAATATATCTAATTTTGTGATTTTATTCACAGAAACAAGTTTCTGCACCTTTTTTCCCCAATAGAAGGCATGAAAACTCAGGCACTGGCTCAGATCTGTTACCACAGTGGACCTTTCTGAGCAGCCTTCCAATACCTAAAGGAGCCGGCAAGCAATCTGGAGAGGACCTTTTTACAAGGGCATGTAGAGACAGGACAAGGGGGAATGGCTTTAAACTGTGAGGGTGGTGAAGCCCTGGCACAGGTTGCCCAGAGAAGCTGTGGCTGCCTCATCCCTGGCAGTGCTCAAAGCCAGGTTGGACAGAGCTTGGAGCAACCCTGGTCTAGTGGAAGGTGTCCCTGCCCATGGCAGGGGCTTGGAACTGGATGAGCTTTAAGGTGCCTTCCAACCCAAACCATTCTGTGATTCTATAAACCACAGGAAAATGGCATAAGGCTTTTTGGGGTTTAATTGCACATTGACTCACACCCCATTTAGCAGAAGACTGTTGGCTGCAGACCTCCAGTCTCTTCACCCTGCGAGACCTACATCTCAGACACTAGCTCTTTTCAAACACAAAAGACAGTAGCATCAGGCATCCACATCCTTACAAAAATCCAGCAGCGGTGAGTCCCTGTGCTGGTGGCAAGCTCCCCTCTGTGCCTACCTGATGCCCCAAAGCTGTAGGGCTGCTGGGTGATGGATACAGGAGGTTTCCCTCTCCAAAGGGCAGCTGAAAAGTGGGGATCTCCACCAACCACCCTTTTTTATTCTTGCAGGGATACGAAGGGTCCCTCATCAAACTCACCTCCAAGCAGGTAGGAGCCACTTAAAGTGGGGTGAGCGTCCCATGCCATGCACCACCGGTCTCTGGGGTGAGGGGCTCCTTCTCTGCTCCCAATCAGCCTCACCGATGGTCCCTGTTCTTCCTCCACAGCCCGTGGGCTTTGTCAGCTTTGACAGCCGCTCCGAAGCAGAGGCAGCGAAGAATGCACTGAATGTGAGTGCCCCTGGATGCTCCATGTATCCGGGATTTTCCCCTCCATCTCCCCATCTGGATACTCTCCAGATTCCTCCATCCCTGGAATGTGCATCTCCTGTACTGGCTGGTCCTACCGCATCCCTATCCCTCCAGCTAATCCCCATGGGTTGCTTCTCATCTGCATCCTCCCAGGGGGCTGCATCCCAAGGCCAAGCCTGAGGATTAGAGTCTTAGATATGAGTCTGAGAGAGACGCCTTTCCCAGCCTCTCCTGTTGTTTCAGTGGGAAAAATCCCAGCTAAAGCTGCAAAAGGAAAAGCAAATTTCACTTTAGCGGCTGCCTCCTACCTCTGCAGAATTAAACCTCCCGAAAAGAGTCACGGGCAGAAGTGTGCAGAGCTGGTTCTCCAGTCCCCCTGGGGTTTTGGTTTGGGTTGGTTTTTTTTTTCTTCCTTGGCTTCATTTTCAACGTAAGACTTTTTTTTGGCTCTGCTAATCCCTCTGGATAAGAGCGCAGGACGCTGACTGCCAAATATGGTTCCGATGCTAAAGATGCTGGAGGAATGCGAGCTGCCTCGGGGCCTGGCAGATGAGCTCATTTCAAGGCTGGAAGTGGAAAAGAAAAAAAGAAATCCAGTACTGGGGAGTTGTTTTTGCTGCGGCGCTGGTGTTCACCTGACCCACCATGCCTCTCCGCTCCCACAGGGCATCCGCTTCGACCCCGAGATCCCCCAGACGCTGCGGCTGGAGTTTGCCAAGGCCAACACCAAGATGGCCAAGAGCAAGCTGGTGGGCACCCCAAACCCCAGCACACCACTCCCCACCGCCATACCTCAGTTCATCACCCGGGAGACCTGTAAGTACCAGCCCCAGCTCCCCTGAGGGAGCCCCGTGCCATGTCCCCCCAGCCTGCCACCGTGGCAGTGCCAGCAGGTTGCCAGGGGTTGTCCCCATCCTCATCTTCCTCAGGGAAAATGCTTTATTCAGGCAATTCAATGTCAGGCAGACATCCCAGGTAGATGCAGCAGGATGCTGGAGGGAGCAGGGATGCTGGAGGGGGGTGGTGATGGGAACACTAGGTCCCATCGGAAGCCGCAGTGCCTGTTTGCTGCAAGCATGGTGGCACGTGCTGGCTGGTGGCCGTGAGTCCCCAAACACTGGGACATGCGACAGCCGGCTCTGAATGGTGCACAGAAATGGGATGAGCTCCTGGTGCTGCTTCACAGTACCAGGGAGTATCTGGGTCTCCACAGAAGCCTCGATGATGTCTTGCTGTGAACACGCCATACCTGTTTCTGCTACTGAAAAAGTATTTCTTGTGTGGATACCAGTTCCTCGCCTCGCTGCTGTGCATGGCTGTGAGCTGCACACTCTCCTCCGCACCCACTGACACTCGATTCCTGGGGTAAATAAACATGAAGATGATGCACCGAGCCCTGTAGCATCACTTGCCACTGGGCAAACCCTGCAATTTCCCAGTGGGCGAATTCGGCGTTGGCTTTGTGGTCAGCTCTTGCCAGCAGCACCATCACGTCATGCTTCTCCAGAGGAGGCTCTGCTCCTGCTTTTGCCTGCTTTGGGGGGAGAAAGCCAACAGCTCTGCTGTTTTTTCTATCATGTGGCATGGTGGAGGCCGCGTCCTGGTGCCTGCCATTAACTCTCCTTCTTCTTTTCTTGCAGATGAGCTCACAGTGCCTGCACTTTACCCCAGTAGCCCTGAAGTGTGGGGGCCGTACCCCCTGTACCCAGCGGAGTTAGCACCTGCTCTACCTCCTCCTGCTTTCACCTATCCCGCTTCGCTGCACGCCCAGGTAATTCAGACCCATCCGCCACCACTGCACTCACCCTCACAGACCTCCCCTTCTCCTGGGTGCTCGCTGCACCACTAACCTCTGCCCAGCTTACAGGCACTCACCCCTCCTCACTGAGACTTAGGGATGGCACCCAAACACCCCTCTCTGCTTTCCTCCCTTCACTCCCACCAGGTGCGGAGGGAGGGATTGGGGATGCTTGCTGGGGCAGGACTTGATCCATCCCCACCGCTCCCAGTACCTAACAACCCATCCGCTCCCTTGAGCATCACCAGGATGCAGCTTGCTGGATGCAAGGTGTGAAGCAAAGCAACCCTGAGGAGAGGGAAAGTGAGTTGCAAATGGAGGACCCATCTTTTATTGACAAGTGCTTTTCTGTTGGCTGCCCCGATGGCAGCACGTGGATGTTAAAATTAAGTACCTACCTAGCGGAGAAAAGGAGAACTAGAAATGGAGGCGGTGGAGGATTTCTTTGCAGTGCCAGCCTTTGGAATGTTTCCTGTAGTGGCATCACAGGGATGCTGGGAAGAGATGCTTGCCCTGGAGTGCGGAACAGAAGCTGCCTCCCCAGCAGCCATGCTGGACATTATCCCAGCTTGCACTCCTCAGCTGCAGCTTGGCGGTGAGCAGGAGGAAATGAGCACATGGAAACTGATTTGCCGGATAAGCCACATCCAAAAGTCTTGATCCGGGTTATCCGGAGCCACCATCGCCGGAGCCAGAGACAGCCGGGGGCTGGTTTGAGCAGGAGGGCGAGGAAAAGCGCTCCATGTACAAACCATCCTCAGCCTTTGGATGAAACTCCAGGTTTTCAGGCCTTGCTGTTTGTAGGAAGAGCGGCGGTAAATATTATTGCAGTGACGTACTTGCCTTGTCAAATAACCACTAACAGGCAGCACCTGTGCTGCTCAGGAGGCTGGTGAAATGTCCAGCAAAGGAAATGGAGATGTAAGAAGGCTCTGAGGGCTGCTGGGAAAATCCATGCTGAGAATTGATGTTAGATGCTGAGACTATCCCCACTTGGTCCTGCCGCAAGCAGCGATGCCACAGGCTGCATTCAGTCCCAGCCAGTGTCATCATCCCAACCAGAGCTGGGATGTACTGTGTGTGTTTTGACCTCCTTGGGGAAGGCTGGGAAAAGGGAACCCATAGGAGCTTCATGCCAGGGTGTGTGGCCACCACTCTTCTCACCTTGTTGCCCCTCTTGTCTTGGCAGATGCGCTGGCTCCCTCCCTCCGAGGCTGGTTCTCAGGGCTGGAAGTCCCGTCAGTTCTGCTGAATGCCGGGTGAGTGCTCTCCTGTCCTGCCCCCTGCTGCGACTCTTGCGGTCTCCAGCAGCTCAGAGCTGGTGAACATCTCATAAAGCCTTAATGAAAGCTCTCCTGGAAGCCCCAGTGTGGTTACCAGGGAGGTAGGAGGATGGTTTGATTACACTTGGAACCACCGTGGATGGCAAAAGCCTTGTGAAATATGCTCTGCAAATAACTCAGCCTTTTGTGGCTAAATAAACAAAAGTGATTCAAATGGAAGAGGGGGAAAAGGTGGAAGAGGCTCGGTTGATGCTGAGTATCGCTTGCTCCATGAGCCTGCGGGAAGCCTCCTGTGCCAGTGTTTCCAGCTAAAATCTAAGCAGAGCTGTATTTAGGAAGAGGAGATGAGTGAATCCCTCAAAAAGGTCCATCTGCCTGCAGCAACCCTGGTAGCCAAAATGGGTTGCGAGGATGGAGGGTCAAGGGACCACATGGTTCTCTGCCTTCTCCACCAGCCAGGAAGGGCTATGGCACAGCCCAGCAAACAGTTTTGCTGCTCAGACTTTCCTGCCTGCGTCCCATATAGAATCACAGAATGGTGTGGGTTGGAAAGGACCTCAAGATCATCCAGTTCCAACCCCCTTGCTATGGGCAGGAACACCTCACCCTAGACCATGCCACCCAAGGCTCTGTCCAGCCCTGGCCTTGAACACTGCCAGGGATGGAGCATTCACAACTTCTTTGGGTAGCCTGTGCCAGGGCCTCACCACCCTCACAGTAAAGAACTTCTTCCTTATAGCTAGTTTAAACCAAACTGGAAGTTTGAACCCATCACCCCCTGTCCTATTGCTGCAGTCCCTCATGAAGAGTCCCTCTTCAGCATCCAGATATACCATGTGGAGCCTATCAGGGCAGGTTTAAGCTCCAAACTACCCCCTTAGGAAGTGTAGACACTGGGCACTGCCAAACAACCTCTCCCCACGGCACACTGACCTTGGTCCCTGACCCTACGCCGTGTCCTCTCGCAGGTCTCAGGTGTGTGATGGTGGCCTACAGTCAGTCTTGTGGGTATTAATGGAGTCTTCCAAGGTGGCTACTGGGTTGGCGCGCTCTCTGCAAAACCACAGTGTGCTGGTAAGGCTGCAGTACAGCGGGGCTGTGCCTGGGGGAGGTGGCCCAAGGGGAGGGGGTAGAGGGGCGAGGAAGCCAGTGTAGTGTCCCCGAGGGAACAGGCAGCGAGGTGACAATTCCTGGGATTGACCCCTCCTCCCCCTGTGGCAGGACACCTCCAGCACCAATCCAGCGATCCATGCTCTGTCATTCCTGCATTTATCGCTGTTATCTGGGGTGAGAGTTTCAACAGCCGAGGAATGCTTCTCGGCTTTGAATTACCCCCCAGTAATCTCATCTCGCTGCGGTGTTCACTTCCTGCCTTGGATCAACACAGACTGAATTCCTCTTAAGTGCAAATTCAGTTCCAACTTAACTCTCAGCTTCCCAGCTGGTGCCTCCCTGGTTAAAACCCCAGGGGCTACAGGAGAACAATCAGGGCCGTCCTTTCCCTCTGCCTGACCCCAGGGTGCTGACAGCCTGGGCTCTCCCTGCAGGCATTTCCCATCTTGCCCTTTCCGGGTTAAACAACTGTCTCTGTAGCTGCTCTCCCTTCTTCACCCCATTTCCAAAACAATCCTCCCTCTATGCTGCAGCACGGGAGCTTCCCCACAAGGGAAAAACGATTAACCACATCCCTTTTCTTCACTTTGCCTCAGCCCAGGATGGCAGCTACCTTTTTTTAACACCTCTCTGTTGTTACAGGCTTGAAAAACCACAAACAAAAAACCTCACACAAGTTTGGATTCCTCCAAGACTTTCCCACAGCCTCTATCACACATCTGCTCTCCTAGAAGAAAAATGAAAAAGCATACCTAGTAATAATATTTTCTTCTTTTACACTGTATATTTGTGAGAAAGAGTGTGTTACTTCTGAAAGCATGGTTTGACAGGCATTGCTGTAGTGTTTGAAAAGTCTTCAAACAGAACCATAGGAAAGCAGACTGAAAAAAAAAAAAAATCCAAAAAAAAAAAAAAAGGGCAAAACAAGAGCAAGTATTTTTGTACCAAACCTCCTAAACAGAACAATCTTACACTGGGTCAGACCACAGGTTTTGTGCTTGACTTTTGAATGTGTGTCAGTAGGAGTCTGTATCCCCCTGCCCCGTCAATTGCATGTCAAAGGCATGATGCTCACGTGCATGCAGATGTCAAGATGCACAATTTGGGTGTGTAGGAATCGTGCTCCCTCTGGCACAGGAATTGCGCTCTGGCTGCATCAGCAAGACATCTGCGGACACTGACAGTATTACTGTTTTCTTCCCAGTTGTACCAAATGACAACCAGGCAGGACAATCAGAAACTTTCTTATGGTGATTTTGCTTTTTACCTTAGGTCTACGTTAATAGCTTGCTGTGCAAAGCTGTGGCACGGTACAACGGGCTCAGATCAGGGATGGGCAGAGATAGCCCACATATGTAGCAAGGTGACAATTTGCCTCTTCCTCCTCTTCCTGCCATGACTGCTTGAAGTTGTTATAGGCACCCTAAACTGCTGTATGAGAAAAAACAAACGACAGACCACTGGTTTGCCGGCTTACTCGAGGCTGGGCACGAGTCCTGAGCGAGCTGACGGGCAAGAGACCGCTTGACATACCAGTCTCTCCCTCTCCTTGCTCCAGGAGAAATTTGGGAAGAGCAAAGCAAACCAAAACCTCGAAGAGATTTAGGTTTCTTGAAAAGGAGGTGCAAAACTTCTTCCATTGCCTCTCCCCCCAACCCCATCCTCACTGCGGGGCATGCTGAGCTCAGCCACTGCCCAGGCTTTGCCGTAATCAGTTTCCCAGCTGCACTGAAGACATGGGGTACCCATGGCCTTGTTAAATACATCATAACCTTTTTCTTCCTCCTTCCTTTTATTCTGTGGGTAAGCTGAGATTTCGGCTGCTGGAGCTGGGGCAGGGTGTTGGGTGAAGCAGTGCGATGGGAAACTGTCCTGTTGGGGTCTTCCGTAAAAAAAATGGCACTGATACAGGCAATGTGAGAAGAAATCAATTCCAAGACAAACCCCTGACTGGCTCTAAAAGGAATGGTATCAGCGTTTCCAAGCAATGGACTAAGTCTTTTAGCAAACTATTTCCTGTACTTTGTCTTGTGGAGAGGAGGGAAGCATCCACATTGTCTACTCCGCTTTTGGAAATGTGTTTAAAGGTACTTTTCTATTGTAATTTTTTAATAAATAAAACCAGTGATTATTATAAGTTACGTGCAGAGCATCTGTTGTGTGCTGTGTATCTGGTTGGGAACTGGCAGAAGGATCCCAGCACACACCCTTCAGGGCTTTGGGGAACAGCAGCCTCCTTCCTCTGGGTATTTGAAGGTGACACGGTGACTTTTTTCAGGGCTGATACTGTTGTCCTGCTTGGCTCACGTGGATCTCCAGGAAAGCTCCAACATCCAGGCTGGAAGGATCATCAGGCTTAAAAGAAATTATTCCAAACTTACAGAGATGTTATCGGTTAGTTTTTAAACCTACTAATCTTGGCACTGAGCGCAGGAGCTAAGCTGCATTTTTCCATGAGCTCAGCTACAGCAGAGGCAAACATAACCTAGAGACCAAGGGCCAGATTATCTTTTTTTTTATTTAACATGCTGAGAATTCTGACAAACTTGGTTCCTGAGGCCAACCTAGAATTCCTCCTCCTTTCTCCACTCTGCTCTCACCCCACTCAATGCCACCAGCCTCAGCCAACATGCCAGACTCTGAAAGCAAAGCACCAGGAGTAAGCTCCAGCTTAGAAAACCCAGCCCAGACAATAGTGTGTAAAGGATGTTATTAAAGCAGGGTACAAACTCGCTGAGAGTGAAAGGCACAGTGGTGTTACTTGAAACCCCCGCTGGCAGGGATGAAGAGTTAAGCCCTTAATGTTGGATGCTAATCCTTCCGTGGCCACCGCAAGTCACAGCTTTCTTTCCGAGTTGAGTTCAGGGGAGAGGTTTGTTGGCAGGCCTGGGATGGGAAGGGAAGAGAGTACTCAGCCCAGCTACTATTCAGAACAACACTGTCCTGGGCACTGCTTCAGCGAGACAAGCAAATGCAGATTCATCAGCAAACATTCTCCATCGCTAAAAAGGCAATGAAACTCACAGGGAAATGTCCTCCTGGACTTTGCCTGGGCACAGATGTGCTGGGAGATCTGCCCTGTAAAAGGAAGTGGGGCCTTCCCCAAAATATTTAACCTCCTGAACCTTTTCTTTAAGGCCAGAATGTTTTCAGCTTCGTGCTGATCAGTGTTGCCCTCACTGGCGATGGAAAGCAAGGGAGCATGCTCGCCTGGTCCCAACATCCCCTTTGCCCATGGTGACCTTTCCCCATGCGGCTGGGGGAACATTCCTTCCCCATGACCGTCAGGGCGCTTACAAGAAGGCCCAAGCTGCTAGCCAACACCAGAAGATTGCAAAACAAGATCTGGGACTCCCAGCCCAGAACTGGCACACAATACCAGGGATGTCCCGGGCTGGGGGGCACGAATGGGCCGCACTGGAAAAACTAAAATGGGAACATTTTACATTCCACTGTTTCCAAGTCTTTCTCTCCCTATTCCCCTAACACTAAGGCTATGTTTGGGCAGGGGTAATGCAGGCAGCTCCTTCCTATGCATCTCTACATCCCTGCATCTCTACCCTGAGGCTGCCCACTGACAGCAGCAGGCTGGAAGCAATGGTGAAGGCAGGGAACAGGCTGCCAGGGCCTGTGGAGAAAAGAACAAGCGCTGACTCCCCACAATGGATAGACACAACCCATCAGTGGAAGAATGGGAACAAGAAGGAGAAGAGCTGTGTCTCCCAGAGGATTGTACAGGGGAGCAGGCAGCAGCAAAGGCAGGGATGAGGGAATGGAGATGGGCCAGCCAGGGCAAGGAAAGCAAAGGGCAGACAGAGCCGGCGCCGAGGCTGGCCAGCAGTCCCCACAGCTCGGATGGGGCAGGGAGGAGGAGCCAGCCCAGCACTGGCTCCTGCAGGCCTCCTTGGGAGAAGGGGAAAAGGAATAACAAGGCTAGGAGAGGAAAGATGAGAGTACTGGGGTTTGGCCAGGCAGCTTTAGAGGCTGAGGCACAGGCTGGGAGGGAAGCTGGTGGCTAAGAGCAAAGAGATATAGCTTTGTGATGACAGCTGGGGTGAGGGTGCAGCACTCACCTTGGATTTTCTCCCCAGCTCTCAAAGCTTGAGGAAACTGAGAGGCATCAGCCAACTAGGGTCACTCTGCTGCCCAAATGCTGCTAGGCAAAGCTACCCGGTCCTTGCTTGCACAAAAAGACTCCAGGTGCACAGAAAAGCATGCAGCTAAAGCACTGGCCAACCCCACTGCCCTGGGAAGGATGGGGATAACTGCATCATGGAGACATTTCAATCCAGGGAGATGAGGAGGGTGCCACAGATGTGTGCCCTGCAACTGCAGGCTGCCTGGAGAGCTGGGCTTCAGACAACATTTAAACACCATGGTCTGCCTCTCTGCCACACACAGGCTAGAAACCAAGATGATAGTGGAGCTTGAAAAGCAAAGTGAAGAAATATCATTAGCACATCTCTGAAATGCTTCTTCTAAAACACAAGGAAGTCAACCATTAGTAGAGCCTGGACTTCATCTCTGCAGTCTCCATAATTAATAACTAGCTCAGGAGGGAATAGAGAACACAACTGATGGAGGCAGGAAGAAATCACACAAGTACTTCAGGCCTTGGACGTAAGCCCAGAAGTGCAGGTATAGTAAAAAAATTAACTTCATGAAAGAACAGCCTCCTGCCTTAACCATGCTTTTCCCCTGCTGTGCTTGCACTCTAGACTGTGTCCAATGCACAAGGCTGGTAGACACCAACATGTGGGTCCCAACCACATGTTGTGCTGATGGGTTTTCAGAGTCATGGGTGTTTTTTCCTGGGCTGCTGGGTAACACAGAGGCTGCTGCACACACTTGCAAGCCAAAGCAGCAGAAAGCAAGAAACAAGGAGAACTGCTCTTACAGCAAGCAACTGGGGCTCACACCCACATCAGCACATTGGTAAAAGGGGCTGCCGGAGGCCTCTGATCCAACCTCTCTCTTGCAACAGAACTGCTGCCAATGAGGTCTTGGCAGCCTTGTCTTGTCTGGGTGATGCATGAAATCTCCATGGATGGAGACACCTCCCCACCAGCTTCTTTCTTCCTAATATCCAAGCCAAACTTCCCATGTTCCCCTATTATGTCATATGGAATGGCTGCCAAGAAGAGTTTGAACACATCATAGAATCATAGAATAGTTCGGGTTGGAAAGGACCTTAAGATCATCATCTTTCTAACTGGCTTTCACATCGCTGTACCTGTGTCTTCACTGCACAAAGCTGTCCCAGCTCCCCACTCTTCTCCCAAACCCTCTGTCCCCAGCCCTGAGCAACCCAGAAGCCCCAAACAGACCCTCCCCAAGCATCCCTCTTGAGTTGGGGGGAGGCCCAAGCTAGACAGTTTTGAGGTGTAACCTCCCCAGTGCTGAGCAGAGAGCCAAGAGCTTCCCTTGCTTCACTGGCCCTTGCTGGAGTGGCACAGGCTGCGTCCTTCTCATTTGGGAACGGAGTGGATAGAGCTATGCAATACCCAGCACAAGGGAGAAGCTGCCTTCCTGCTGAGAGCCCTGCTGTGTCCAGACAAGCCCTCTCATCTGGGGAACTGCCATTCTTCCTTATCTGCTTCACAGGGATGCAGATAAGAGATAAGGGATACACCTGCTCCAGACAGCCTGTGCAGGACAAGACAGACATGGTTAGGAATGTGCCTATAGAGCTGAACAGACCCAAGGAGCAGCACAGAAGCAGACCCTCTGTCCTCTGGGAAGGTATCTGGCCCCCAAGCCACCTTCTGCATTACCACAAAATGCTGGCCAACGATTCCCTTTTGTAAGCACCCCTAGAGTCAGTCTGGGCAGTGCTGCAGCAATGCCAGCTATATGAGGTAACTGGGAATGCTGTTTTCAGGCTGATGCCTATCTTGCTGACAACTCTGCAGCAGGGTGCAACGATCCAGCCATATCCAGCAATAGAAAGCTAGTACCAGCAGACTGGGGTCCGAGCTCTCCTCTCCCTGATAGCTGTTAGAGGTTAGCCTTGCTGGTCTTAACCAGCCAACAGTAAGCAGTCAGTCCTCCTGGACATCCTCCTCCAGATGCAGGAGCTGACAGAGGTCCCCAAGGCTGTAACACACAAAGGAATTTGGGCCTGGTCCATTAGCAGCAACCGGAAAGCAAACAATAAAGCTGGAAATAATTAGATGTCAGTACCAGAGTTGCTTCTAGTCATCTGCAAATGCAGCCTCGCCTCGTCAGAAGGTACCAGGAGCCCAGCTTTCCCCCGTGGCCCTGCAACGCCTGCCCATGCTCATCAGAAGTGACAGCCCTCACTGGCTACATCCATGTGCAGGGTCTTTATGCCATTTGTCAGGACTCCCTTGCCTCTCTCTACTCTGCTCTCTAAAAGCCTTTAGTGATCATGATGAATTATAGATTAGCTCTGGTACACACCACCTTATGTCAGTTTTCTCATTCAAGCATACAAAATCCTTCTGTTTTCCATCCCCTTCCAGAATGATCATCAGAACAGGAGAAGGAGGTGGAATAACTCCTTAGTTACAACTTTTAGGAGAGAAGTTGGTAGAGCTGTGACACACCTGGGCTATTCAGCTTGCACCTTAAAAAAAAAATAATAGTGCTTTTACTTTGGGGCACACCTCCTTCCCAAAAAGATAAACTAGTGTAATATTAAGGGGGAAACAGGACCAAGTGCATATCCCTGGCTGCTTGCAGACCTCAGCAAAGCTGTGCTATCTGCTCCACTGACTGCTGCAGATACTGTCTTCACAGCCACAGGCTCAAGGTGTGAATGTGCAAGCAAAAGGATGGTGTAGACAGCTCAGATACAATGTCCTTGGCTGGACAGGACACACATCACCTGAGGAGCCTCAGGAGAGTAGAAGAGGGAAAAAATCATCTTGTAGGGACAGGTAAAGACTGCACCAAGATGGGTTTACCAAAGAACCTTCCTGAAATGTGTAAGACAGAAATGCCTGCCATGGACTAGATGATCACTGCAGGTCCCCTCCAACTGAAGCATTCTATTTCTATGTTCTATCTTAGTCAAGGGCAGTCTGAGTCTCCTTATCTTTCTGGTTAGCAGCAGATACTTTGAGGGAATGAAGAGAAAAATGGAGTAACAGGCCCATGGCCCCCAGGAGAGAGCATG